ATGTACCTTCTCAATGATATGTTCCACTTTCCACATGCAAAAAATTTTTTGAGCTGTTCATAGAGTTCTTGAAATTAAAATTTGATGACATCCCTTCACACTTTTTCATGCATGCTGAAAGAATGGGAGCATAATTTTGCCCATTGCTGTGTGCTGTGAATGAATCTCATTGGGCTGTGTGATAATATTCACCTTGAGGTACCAACCAACTGCCTTTCATTGGGCATGAAGTGGGTTTGATGTGAAGTGAATATGAAGTGTGTTTTTTTTATATTTGTTCCTTCAATTCTTCCCACCAGTATATTGAAAAGCTTGTAAATACTATTTGATCTTGTGGGCTTACTCACAGGCAATTTCGAGATTTTCTTCAGTCCGTGCAATCTGGGTACTTTGATGTACTGTATTACATGAAAATAATGTGACTTAATGAAGGATGTGTTTTCAAGTGAGTTTGGCAGCTGAAAGACAACATTGTGTCGTTCTTCCATGAGAAGCAGTGTTCTGCGAAATGTTAGAAGATCCAGAATGGCTTTCAGACTTTTCATTTTTCTCACAGATCTTTTTTGTCATATGAGCAACTTGAATGTCAAGATTCAAAGCAACAATCAATTTATCGACGATATCTGGGCCCATCTCAAAGCTTCTAAACTAAAACTTAATATGTTTGCTGGTCAGCTAGCTAAGAACGACTTGTCTCATTTCCCAAGGTTAAATTCAATACCCTAAGTAAATAAAGAGAATCTTAAGAATTATGAAGATGACTTGAAAAACTGCATTTTAAGTTCAAATGCAGATTTCAAGACTTCAGTGCCATTCAAACAGAACTGGATATTTTTACCATACCTTTCAACATAAATTGTGAAGCAGTGAGGTCAGATTTGCAGCTTGAATTAATTGAGTTGCAGTCTAACAGTCATTTCAAGCATATGTTTCTAAATATGCCGAAGTTAGAGTTTTACAAATCATTATCAAAAGTAAGTTTCCCAAATTTAATATCTCTCAGAAAATCAGTGTTATGTTTGCTTCATCTTATATATGTGACCAAGTGTTTTCAACTATGAACCTAAGAAAGAATTATTTCAGAAGTAGACTGACAGATGAGTATTTAGCCTTGTTCCTTAGAATCAGTACATTCACTTTGAACCTCAACATAAGGAACTTTTAAAACGGAAATCGCAATTTCATTCATTTTATTAACATATTTAAATTGTAATACTTGTACAGTACGCTCCCGATTATCTGCGGAATTGGATAGTGCGGCCGCCGCGGATAACAAAAATCGCGGATAATCCGAAAAAAGCTAAAAACGGGTACAGCAAAAGAGAAAACATTCCAACTTTGAAAAATCGTTTTATGTACAATAAAACGTAAAATAAACAGCAGGAAATGTTTAAGTAACGCTTAATATTTTAGTATATCACTCAAAACTAACCTAAAATGCATTTTGTTAATGAAAACAGAAAAGTGCTTTGTACTTATGAAAGGTGTCAAGGATACACAGAAAAATTAATACATATGTACTGTTTTAATACTGTAATGTATTATGTAATTACGAAACATAACTGTAAAACTACACCTTTTTGAAGAAATCAGTCATTCCTTCTTGCTTTGGAAGCATTTTCTCTTGATCCGAGATTGCATTTTATGTAGCATAAGTTTCTCAGCCAACTCTGCGTCGTCTTGTTCTTCCAAATAGCTCAGCAGTCCGTCGACTTGTTGCAAAGCCGCTTCGTGAGTCTTCTGCATCTGCACAGTGGGCTCTTCTTCGCCTTCACTTCGCTTTCCTTCATTCTCGGCCACTCCTCTTGCTTTCTTCACAATTTCGTCATCTGTCAAGTATTCGAAGCCAGGTTCGTTGACATCACACTCCAACCACTCGTTAATGTTTTCGGCATTGGCGTTCTCACCTCCCGGAACTGTTTTCACCATATCGGCAAGAGTTGCCGTGGGTGTGTCTACATCTTCATTCTCTTCTTCACAACTCAAAGGGTTTGTTGTTGGCTTTAAGAGTTTGTTGTTGGCATTAGGCATGAGTTATCTCCATGATTTTATGAGGGTTGACGGTTTTACCGAGTCCCATGCAGATGCAATATCGTAGATGCTGTCCAAGATTGTGTAGTGTTTCCAAAACTCTTTCAGATCATAACCTTCTTCAATTTTGGTCATTAGCCGCTTGGTTCGGTATGTTCTTTTCATTGTTGCATTGACTCCTTGGTCCATGGGTTGGATTAGCTCAGTAATGTTTGGGGGGAGAAACTTTGCAAAAATTTGTCCATCAGAAAATTTTACATGAGTGTTGCTGGGTGAGAAGGTGTGTTGTCGATCAAAAGCACAGCTTTTTCAGGCAGGTTTTTTTATTTAAGATGTTTACGCACTTGAAGAACAAAGAATGTTTTCGAACCATTCTTGAAAAATGTTTCGGTCCCTCCATCCTTTTTTTTTTTTTTTTTTTGTTTTTTTGGTTAAAGTAATCAACGGGCAAATTTTCTATCCTTGTGCCTTTGAAAGATCTCTCTCTCTTTTTTTTTTTTTTACTTTCCAGTGACAACAAGTATAAGTTTATGTCCACCGGTAGTGTTACTGCAAAACACGATAGTGATCCTTTCCTTGCTGCTTGTATGACCCGCCGCTTTACTTTCACTTTCAAATGCTAAAGTGCGAGTGGGAAGACATTTTCACAAAAGTCCCGATTCGTCGGCATTGTAAATTTGTTCAAAAGATAGCTCTTCTTTTAAAACAAATTCTTCAAATTCATGGTGGAAATCGTTGGCTGCTTGTTGGTCACCAATAAGTTTCTCCCCATTAAGTTCAATTTCTTGAATTCCATGTCGCTGCTTAAAACAAGTCAACCAGCCAGAAGACACATCAAAATTTTCTTTCAGGCCTAACAACACAAAAAAGGTTTTTGCCTTCGCCGCACTGATAGGCCCACTTACAGGAGTACCCTCTTTTCGAACTTGAGCTAACCACTCTGTCATTGCCGTGTCTACAAAGGTAGAACCCTTCATAGTTTTTCGCATTTTTATTGCGGAAGCACTGTCCGACATTGATGCAAAGTTCACCAGTTTGTCTTTATGCTTTAGAATGTCACGCACTGTTGTTTCAGCAATTCCGTAATCCAATTCCATCTGCTGCCTTGTAGCGCCGTTTGATACTTTTGAAATTAATTCTAGTTTTTGCGCAATTGTCAAAACAAACTACTTTTGTTTTCCTGACATTTTAAATTGGTAACGAAAAACACAAAACCAAAAAGCACAAGCACTGAACACAATAAAAGATAAGAAATTAACTCTGACGGTTCGCAAACACTATCAGGCTTAAACTAACAATGGCGAGTGGGAGGAAGTGGACGTGTCACTAAGATTAAGACGAGAGAGGGCGGTAGAGTGGACATTGCAAGGGTGAGTAAGAAATCACTTACTCATCAGAGGGGAAGGTTCCGAGAAGGCCGAGTGAATGGTTCCGAGAAGGCCGAGTGAATAGTTCCGAGAAGGCTTGGATATTTTTGCCATAAATAAGCACGATGTTAACAAATTTAACTTTTCACTCAGTTTTGTGAACATTTTTATTTTCTTTGCTTTTTTAACATTTGCCCATCTCTGCCTTAGATATTGATCCTTAACATGGTCTTCCAGTATAAAATAAGGTAGAAATTTGAAAAACATTTTCAGTGCTAGATAAGTAAGATTTTATGAATAGAAAGTCTAACTGCTTTTGTGAGACTCATAAAGTAAAAAGACAACTTTAAAAATGCTAATTTTGCTGCTGTAAATTAATTGTAAGAAATTTTATATCTTTACATGATGAACCAGAAGCAATTAAGCAGTAAAATCGCTGAGCACTGGTAATTCAGTCAGAGTTTTAATTCCAGGAAACAATGTGGCTGCATGGGAGTTTTTATGGGTTTTCTCATGTGTAATGTGAATATGGGACAGTTTCCCTTAAAAAGTTGCCTATGAAGGCATATGTCCAGGAAAGAAGGTAGTTCTCATATGCTCTGCTGTAATCCTTATAATCTTGATCCTCTATGTAAAAAATTTTCGATATTATTAAGGAATGAATTTATTGACTTGAAATTCTTCAGTGCTAACTTCTGAGGTATTTCAGTTAGATTTTTAGAGAGAAACTGTAAAACAAAAGTTGCATTTTTTTATTCATTCAAAATGAGCTGTATATATATGGTATTTATCAGCTAGAAATTATATTTGTTTACTGTACTCTGTTTTTTTAGAAAACTTCCAATCATTAAGATGATGTTTAAAATATTTTGGAATCTAAAGAGGGCAAAATAGTTTAAAAAAACTTATATATATATATATATATATATTAATAATTTATTTACTAAATAAAAATTATATATATGTATATATATATATAATTTATTTACTAAATAAAATTGATTATATTATCTCCTAAGATTAATTAAAATAGAATGATCTGAAAAGAGTGAATCCATACTTAGTCAGTTCTATTTCGAAAGATGTAGTTAAGTAACTTGAATGTAAATTGTTAAAAATGTTTAACGGGGACTGGAATTAAATCATGAATAACAATTTTAAAAGGAATAAATTAAAAGCAAGAAATAAATGTAATTAATCATTGATATTGATCGGAAATTAGTTGACATTTCTAGGGGAACAAACCGACTCCCGTTCAATGAACAATAATTAAGAAATAAGTACGAAGGTGTTGCCAAACTGACAATTCAAGTCAGGCCAAACGTTTCTGTGATCTAAGTTTCCCAAATTTCTCATGAGCAGATAATAGCTGTTATGTTGCTCAGAGGGTTAACTAAAAAATCTGGTTAGTTGGCCTTTATGTGTTTTAAATTAGAAAAAAATTAAATTTAAAATTTGGAAATTAAAATTTTCAAACTTTGATGATAAATTCTCTAATCTAAAAATTTTCAAACTGTGATTTTATTTAACTTTTTTTTAAGGAATCACCCTGTATTTTTTAGTGTTTCTTTGATATATTACTTATGCATCGTTCTTTTATAGGCTTGTTTCATGGGCTATGAAGTTGCTATGAAATTCCTAAATTGGATGGCTCCAACTCTTTGATAATAAATTTATTATTTAGAAGAACAAATCTTCCAATAAATTAGTATTTTAGATTAATCATGTATTTCATTAGGTATTTTCTAGTGCCTTGTGCATGCCTGAATAAGGAGCATTTTCTCATATATATTAAATAGGAAATTTAAAATACAAGTGCTTTTCAAATGAAATACTTGTTTTAATTTTTCAAAGTTTTATATAATTACAACTCAAGTTGAAAAGCTTTTTGAACAAGTACAACTGTTGTCTTTTACAGAGTTGTTTATAATTACACTGAAACTGTTGTTTGCATAAATAAAAAAATATTTTATATTTATAAATAAAAAGTTTGTTTTGGTTATGGCTTTTATTTATTCATTTTCTCACTAAAAATTTGGGAAAACAAGTAATATTCTCTGCCAAATTATTGAAGACCAGTGTCTTTTGATGGATTAAGTACATAATTTCATAGAAAATATTTTTTCTCTTATTTTTATTACAAATACATTCAGTGTGTTTTAAATGTTGTTTATTATTCCTGCTTATTTATTGGCAAAACATGTTACAGAAACTTAAAAAATAATTTTAGCCTTTAGTTCCCCATAACATTTTTTATGGCCCATGAATACGGTTGTGTATTTGTTGTTAATACAGTACTTTTTATTCTAGAGACATAGAAATGGAGACTGAGCTGTAATGCATGACTGCTATTGAAGGAAAAATAGATTGAATGAATAGGTTAGAGTTTAGTCACTGTATATGTTGTATGTATGCTTGTATGCTAGGCCACATGATTGGCCTTAGGTGGGAGAAATTCTTATGTTAATACAATCAGTAAATTTGTTTTCCAGATGAGAGTGGGGGCGGGGGGTGACACTTTAGAATTCTGGTGATTGTTTTTTTCTGTTGAATTGGTACTTCCGGTGTATACAGTGAAAATTCTTTAATCCAGACTCGTCGGGACTTCGGCGATTCCGGATTATAGATCATCAGTTTAAATCTGGTAAGATGGCATGCAGAAATTATAAAATTAAAAATATGAAACCGTAATTTATGAAATAAAGAACAATTATGATCTAAAGGGTATCAAAATTTACAAAAAAAAAAAAAAAAAAAAAAAAAAAAAAAAAAAAAGTTTAATATTTATTTGTTTACTTTATTAAACATTCTTTCAATGCTTGCATTCGTACAGCATACATTACGCATAGTCGAAATTAGAAAATTGCAACCAGAAAACTATTTGATGTGTATTCGTGATATTTATAATGAATTAGATTTAAATCATATCAGAGTACATCGAGATGAAATACTACATTTAGTAATGAATTATAAGCCGAATAAAATAAAAACATCTGCCCTGAAAATAAGGATAGTGCTGACAGATCAACTTCCAATTCATTGCGCGCCGCGACGTCCTCCACCCCCTCCCACGCAGAGCAGCATGAAATTGATAAACAGATTTCGGAATGGTTAGAGAAACAAACGATATGCCTTTATCCATTTTAAATTGTTTAAAAATTGTACTTTTTTAAAAACAATTATATAAATAATGTAAAATAAATAAATACCTTTTTAACTAATTCTAGATTATCGTATGTCTGATTTTTCCACCGACACAGATACATTTCCGAATCCAATGTTAGTGTAGTTAGGTAGTGACTGTTCTTAATATATTTTAGAGTATTTTATGGCAGATTCAGCATTTTATTATTAATTGCATTATTTTCTTATGATGAATATATTCTATACATTATATTACTGTAAGTGCTTTTTTTCGGGGAATGCACCAAAAAAGTATTTTGTCCCGGGTGCCAGTTATGCTTGCTACGCCACTTTTAATATGTCATATTTCCTATAGTGTATCAGATATGCTGCTCATTATATACATTTCACCCCTGTTTAAGAAACTCAAAATTTGATTCCAAATTTCAGTTTATATCCTCGTTTGTTTAATAGATCTGTAATGTCTGAAGATAAATGATTATTATCAGTTTTAAATTGTTATTTTTTAAATATGAAAGCTGCTATCCGATTCCTTTCAGGTACAAGTTGGTTCGAATGATCTGGATCTATTGCAGATTGTCAGTTTTAAATTGTTATTTTTTTAAATATGAAAGCTTTTATCCGAACATACTGATTATCTGATTTCTTTCAGGTACAAGTTGGTTCAGATGATCGGGATTTATTTATTTATTATTATTTTTTTATGTTTTGCTGTGTGCGATGATTTTAGCAGTCGCTGTCTCCAACTAAAAACTTTTTACGAGCTTTGAAGTCAAGCAAGTGTGCAAATTACTGAAGCCCATAAAAGCAAAAGTAAAGTTTAATTTGTGTAGACATCGAGTTTCAAATTTGGCTTTCGCCACTGAGATTCAATAGCGTAGCACATGTTCGGATCTTCATATGTTGTCATTACAGGTACCATTGTATATCTTTCTGAAAAGATGAAAGCAAAACAGAAACCATTTACTTGAGTAAATTATTTATTATTCAATCTTTATTATTGAATAATAGCTATTTAAGTTAAGGCAAAATACTTTAGGAATATACACCTAAAGTGCCGTTCCCACTGGTGTTTATCTGAGCTAACGGAGTCAGTTCCACGTGTCGACTAGCTCCACTATGCCTGCAGTTCAGATATTTCAGCGTGCTGCCCTATGGGAAAAAACTGGTTTTGGAGATGGGTCGACTATGTCAGTTGTGTCCATTAGCTCAGAGAAACTCCAGTGAGAACGGCCCTTCAGGCATGTCTTCACGAAGGTTTTTTAGAGGAAACTTGCTCATATTCGTGTTACATAAGGCAGAAATCACAGGAATTCCCATGGAGTCAGCCGTTAGGCTGTAAGAACGAGACGAGTTTGACATTTGGAATGGAAGTGATTTTTAATAAGCGGCTAGTACTGTAATTTTATAAGGTATTTTCTTCCTACTTTCCGCATGCCTTCATAATGTGACGGGAAGCATAGTCAACTTGTATTCCAGAGGTCCAGGCTTCCAGTATCGACAAGGCTATTTCACATTATTCATGTGTCCTGCTTCAAAATAGCCTAATAACAATACAATGGTGCTCGAACTAAAAGGTATGGGACAATACTTCGGCACCACCAGGATCTGACGATTGGGTGGCTTCATCCTCAGTTTCCTTAAAAAGGGGAAGTATACAAAGTATTTTCTCCCACCGTTCTACTTGCCTTCATGGAGTAATTGGAAGCAAACTCGACGGAAGGTCTGCAATTATTCGGAATGACCGGGATTAGAATTCGGGCGAGGACATTCTTCATCTTACACGTCTCCAACATCATATAATCTAATGATTCTACAATTTAACCTTTCCTTGAATCAAATAAATACTGGAGCTGGTTATTCCTGAGATACCCATTGGACGCTGGAGGTTGCACCTCAGCCAGTAGTTGTGGACTTGCGCGTGGTTGAACGCTCAACAGCGTGGATACTCACGGCAGCCACAGTGTGTTCGGAATTAACTTGATTAATGTACCTAGTCATATTGTACCAAGATAAAGTAAATCTAAATAATTTAATCTTTTCTTGAACCAATGACATACTGGATGTGGTCATTCCAGATTTGTCCGCTGTACATTAGAGGTGCCAACTCGTCCAGCTGTTCAGAATTTGCATGGGGTTGGGAGTCCAGTGCGGATTTTCAGATCAGCCTTATGGTGGCTGGGCTGAAGATGTCTAGATAGAGGCGTTACCTGGTGACAAATTGGCGACGAACTGGTGCCTCTTCCACTTCTACTTGTACCTGATATTTAATGGTTTTTGTGGCCAGGCACATGTTGAACTAGAGGTGCTATTAGGAACGGTAAACACTGAACTAATGGTAGAATGAGGAAGTGATGCTTCTGGGAACCACAGGGGAATTAGAAGGCATATATAAATGGTATTAGATTAGTTTGTGGCACATGCGTTTGGTGTTAAGCAGAAATGCACTCTCCGCGATATGCCCGAACCATTTACAGTGAAGGATTTAAGATTTCTCGCTATGCTTAATTTTTATCGACGTTTCTTGCCTCATGCAGCGACCATACAAGCATCACCTGTAAATTCCGTTTTGGTTGGAAGCCAGAAAAACTATAAACGCGTTATAACCTGGACCACAGAATCTCGCGAAGCGTTCCAAAAATGCAAAAATGATTTAATTTCGGCAACAAATTTGCATTGTCCTTCAGCATCTAAACCATTATCACTCTACGTTGACGCATTAACAACAGGTATAGAAGCAGTTTTACAACAGAAAGGTCAAGAATTATGGAGACTACTTTCATATTTTTCTAAAAAATTCTCACCAGCACAAACCAGATACAGCACTTACGATTCGCGAATTATTAGGAATTTATGAAGCTGTCAAATATTTTCGACATATGCTATAAGGACGCGTTTTCATGATCTTCACAGATCACAAACCCTCAATCTATGTTTTTCAACAGCGTTCGGATAAAGCTTTTCCTCGTCAAATGAGACACCTAGACTTCATAGGGCAATTTTAATATTAAAATATATACCTGCTCTCAAAATTTTGGATTTCGCTCTAGATTTTTTTCAAATCTCAATTTTGTGTTCTTAGGGTCCATAAGTTATAGTTCATGCAAAATTTTACCGCAATTTAAATTATATTAGATACCGCCCCTCAAAGGGTTAAAACCTTATCTGGCCAGAAAAAAAAAAAAAAAAAAAAAAAAAAATCATAAAATGCAAGCAGAATTTTTCTTTACCTGTTTTTGTTTCGTAAAACACGTTCAAAACAATTTCACTACATTAATTAATTATGATATTATTGCGTGCGTACGGGTTCGTAATAGATTGGTAATACTTCGTAAATGATTGTCATTGCACTCAAATCCGATTGTAGCTTAATTAAATTTATTTTATCAACAGAAACACTTCAGAGTTCTGGAATTTTCACAGAAATACTCGTACAAGTGTTTAGAATATCACTAAGTATAATCAGTATAAAAACTAAGTATAATCTAATAAGAACGTTAAAGACAACGCAATGCAAAAGGCATCTTAAGAGAAAGTTAACTCAGAAATATCTCCGATTTCACGCTGAACTAACAACTTATATAGTATAAATAGTGTGGTATAATGAGATTTTTACTTTGAAACCGATGTTTCGAATTGATGCCCAAGAAGAACCAATATTTCCCATTCTGCTTCATTGCATATCTTTTAAAAAAGTAAAAGAATCATCCAATTAATTTCCTTTATCATTTTTTTTTAAATGCGAAAAGTTTGTTTTATAAGCTGTGAAAATGTCGGAAGTTTGTGAACCGATATATTTTTAGATATGAAATTTTAAAATTAATGGGAGCTTCAAAAAATCTAAAAATATGAACGATT